TAAATATTATGTGTGTTATCTATGCGAGCATTTGACTTTTTTTGACCATTGCCCCATGACATTGACATAATAGGTACCTACAACGCATTTGAAATATACAGAATAATTTTTTAAGGGATATTATGACCTGGTACTAAGACCTTTACTAGACTTAAGTCATGTCTTATTTTAACTTATATTCATGTTTTTATGAAAAATGATATTATGGAGTGAAATGAAATGAAGATGATTAATTTGAGACATTAATCAACTGGGATGAAATTAAATGAAATGAAATGAGATGATATGGGATGAAATAATATAATCTCAGTAAAATGGTGGTCACTAAGATTTTTTCAGTGGAGGATCCCGAGAAGTTACGTCCAGCGGCTTTGTTTCATTTTCCCACATTTGTGCACTTTCACAGATAATGAATAGTTAATAAACTACCATTATTACACATTTAAACCTGAAGAAACACTAAAATATAGACAAAATAAAACAAAACACACAACTTCATTCCTCGCGTTCCCGCCAAAAAGTCATTTATACAGAATAAAAATAGCTTATGACACAGATAAACTAAATTATTCCGACATATACATACATGACACTAGAACAAATGTTTTATAATCTTTATTGCCTACCGTTTCGTTAAACTTAATTGTTTTATTAATTAAGAAGAAACGCAAGTAAAAGTAGTATCTCTTGACACTTGCTGCGTTTTGAAAATCGTTTTTTATTGCTTAGGAGGTTCAACGAGTTCACGACTCAGCTGGTGTTTAATGGTTGCCGGAAGCCACATACATTACAACGTGACTACCGCTACCCACCCTGACACATTAGATAGAAGTCTCAATTTCAAAGTACAACGCCTGTCTCGCCCTTCAATTCATTTCGCATAATTATCTTCGCGGCAGGAAGCTGAAGTGGATCCTAACAAAACATTTTTTGGTCAGGAGCCGCACCTCCTGCGAATCATAGCATGCCCTACCTACTTTATATATTTTTTTTTAGTCAGGAGGAAATCGCCAGACTTCTGCCCTTAACTGGGGATGGAGGGCGGGGTATGTCGGAGTCGAACCGACTAAAACCTCCTGTCGCTCAACAACCAGCAGCCAAACCTCACATGAGACAGAACCCATGAAAAGGCAAAGGGGGGAAAGTGAAGCGTTTAGTGCGAGCACATCTCTCCCATCACCCTCCCCTTTGGGACGCCGGACCGGCGGTCGTCGGCGCCACGACCATCAGCCCTCTCTACCTACTAGTATTTTTTATTGTGTATTCAATTCATCAAACACTCTGTTTGCTCACAGTTCATGTTTGAATCTGATTCGTAGTTCTGATAAAAAAGTAGAATGATTGCCTGTCTTAGTATTTCGAATCAAATTATAGAAAGTATTGTGACACAAACACAAATCGCAAACGTTTTTTCTTAAAAAGTTTCCGGTCGCAAACATTCGACAACAACTCTAAAATATTTTGTGTTGGATATATAACTTGTTTGCGTTTTTCACTTTTTGGGTCGAATAAAAAACGCTCTATTATTTTTTAATATGGCGTCCGGAAGTGAAAAACCAAGAGGATTTTTATGTTTATTCGAAGCGCATAAACAAATAGATATAAAACAAGGTACGTTCAAAACTAAAACTAGTAAATTATCAATTTGAATTACCTACGCACTCACAAAATCACTATTTTGAAAAATACTACTTATTAACGTATTTGCCTTTTTTATTATTGTTTTATATGCATCTTATTTTTCTTTTTTCAGCATGACAATCGGCTTGTTGCGATGCCAGTGTCGAATTTATAAAAATATTTGTCATTTTATACAAACATGTTCATCATCTATGTGTATGTTTTGCTTATTCTCAGCCTATTTTAAAGGTAGTAATCTCAAAGCTATTTAGGCACTTAGGGTTGCTTTCCTTTAGAGAACTAGTACATAGATAAATTAATTGAAAAACAAAATTTAAACGAAAATCAATCTTAAGCTCCATTCATATTTAGAAGGCGATTGTGAATGTGGGCACGACGCACAGGTGTCTTGGACGCTAGTCGACTCTCTAAGAAGCCTTGATGTCACTTCGTGACACACTGAACTACTTTGAGAGAATTCATAGACACTACCTGTGGATTCGCAATCTCTTTGACACAGTTTGTAAAAACAATGTAATTTTTATCTGTATTTCGTGCGTCTCCAGAGGTCATTCCTTCGAAGCAAATGGCGTCTTCTGAATGAACCCTTTTCTGCACTTTCTTGTTTCATACAGTGCGATTATTGTAAGCAGTTGGTCTAGTATGCCCCTTAAATTGCTGATGTCCACGAGCACCGATCAGGATCAGGTGGATCGTATGCACGTCTGCCATTGTAAATAATAAGTAAGAAAAACGTGCTATTTCTACTACATTTTATGACGCGTAGAACTTTTTCTGTTTACGCATTCTACCTCCCAGATGTTTCTAGATTAACACAACATTTAAAATTGATTAACCGTCGCACAGATAACGACCGAAATTTGACAGATTATTTTTGAAATGTCATGTATTTTTTTTTTCTTTCGCAAGTCTTTTTTTTAAACAGCCTTCATAGTTTTAGAAACGTGTAAAAATGTTTGTACATAATACCTTATTAGTTCTTCTAAGATAGTTTAACTCAGAGCATACTACCGTTACATACACATATCGTTACACCTTATCCAGACGGGTACCTGTGCCTGTCGATGACCTCTCAGTTCATTTTTTTTTATACTCAACAGGTAAGCTTTGTAATTAATGCAATGCTATTGGGGACTGACTTGGTGTTGATGTAGTTAGCGCCCCTGACTGTTGCGCCAAAGGTCGTGGGTTCAATTCCCACATCGGACAAACATGCTCTGTATCTGTTGTCTGTTTGTTTTATTATCTACATATGTATATATCTAAACGTATATAAGTATGTCCCTATATCAATCTCTGGTACCCATAACATAGGGAATTGGGGCCCGGATGACCGTGCATGATTTGTTCCCAGTTGCTTATGATTTATGTACATATTATTATGAGCCATTACGGCTAAGTGTCCCCTTCTTGACTTTTTCTGCTGCAATGCAATAATGCAGTACTCTTTAAAGGGCAGTAGAGCCACAACCGAATAGAATTGAAATTTCAACCTCATATCTCAGGGTGGCGTTATATTTAAAATGGCTTCAGCTACAACATAGGAGGGCCCTCGATCCGTCTGGTTCAGCAAAATGAGCTGTTGCAAAGCTTTACCTTGGATTTGGTTTAAAATCACAGTATGAACATCGAAATTGACGTCACCGTCTTTATAATACATCTATACATATAAATAAAATTGGAGTGTCTGTTTGTAGTATTGAAATAACCACTTTTTACTACATGCATATGAATACATATACATACACCAAAATAACATTTTTTACAATTTTTGTCTGTCGGTTTGTTCCGGCTAATCTCTGGAATGGCTGGGCCGATTTTGACGAGACTTTCACTGATAGGTAGCTGATAATATAACGTGTAACTTAGGCTACTTTTTTTAGACTAGCTTTGCCCCGCGGCGTTACCCGCGGGTAACATCGCGGGATTCAGCTGTCAATAATAAAATTTAATTTTCCGAAGCGAAGCGAGGGCGGGTTGCTAGTAACAAATAAACACGATGCAATTAATGTCCATGAGTAAAAAATAATATTATTATTATGTCGAATTGAAAACAGAAACTGCCGCGAAGCAGTCACGCGTTTGTTCTTGAAGTGTGGAACAGCGGTTAAGCTTCGCTTATGGTTAAGCGGTTAAGCTAATGAAGACTTCGACCTTTTACCCCAAGGTGTGTCCATGGACTCCGGTGACCGCATAACATAATGCAGGCCGAGAGTTCATTCACGCGCTATTGCAATCAAATAAAAAAAGACTAAACTTAAAAGTTCTATAAGATATCTTAAGTTTGCGCGAAGTCTTCGCTTACTTCTGAAACTGCGAGAGTTGTTCCAATTGAACTCATTCTTAAACGTATAGATATAATGATTGTTTCTCATTAAAATTAGGAATAAGTGCCTTTCATAAATTAATTGAAAACATTTAGATTTTCCAGAACAGTGTCTAGTTTATTTTAGATAAGGGCGCGGCTTATGTTTAGCTTTTACATTATTACTTATAATAAAAAAGCCTCATTTTTCTTAAGATGTGACGAAAAATTGCTTATTTTTTTTGTGAGATTTGCAAACGCTACTTAATATATTAAATATATTTTATTATAATACTTACGTTGTAAAATTAGTAATATACTTTTACAACACTATAAAAACCTTCTTCCATCGAACGCTCTGGAAAGATAAACAAAACAAAAAGTGTCATCGACTTCGAAACGAGTTTTCATTTCAAACTTTTACCTCGATCATAAATAATATATTGTCAACGTACATTCTGGCCCTCCATGATTTGAATTTTTATTAAAATGACCTGCAGTTATTTTTTTTTATTCAACAATTTTCCATATTCCATTTTTTACAGTAGGCAGCGGCTTGACTGTGCCCCTGGCATTGCTGACGTCCATGGGCGACGGTAACCAGTCACCATCAGGTAGGCGGTATGCTCGTTCGTCTGCCTACAAGGGTAATTGAATTATATATGTGCGTTTCGGGTTGAAGGGTGGGGCAGCCGTTGTAACTATACTGAGATCTTAGAAATTATATCTCAAGGTGGGTGGCGCATTTACGTTGTAGGTGTCTATAGGCTCCAGTACTTAACATCAGATGGGCTATGAACTCGTCCATCCACCTAAGCAATAAAATATATATGTATATTTACAGTTCGCAATTAATCAAAATTTGACAAGTCAGTCAGTAACACTGGTATTTTTAAAGTATATTTTCGTGGACCGACAGTAGCTATTTTAATACAAATAATGACGAAAACATTTAGCGCGGTCCGAAGGCACGGAAAGCGTAAACACGAAGCGCCGGTATGCACCGTTACCTCGCTTGTATAAATGAGGAGCCCCACCCGAAAGCTTTAGTGTAGCGATGACCATGAAACTACACGCGGCCCTGTTGCTAACTACATTCGTGCTCGCCGCACGCGCAGCCTCCATCCCGGACAAGGTCCCCGAGGCCGAAGATAAACCTTTAAATGTCGTTGAGAACTTATCTAGTGAGCAGGAGCTCATCGACCAGGCTAATACGATTAAGGACATCGATAACAGTCTCCGCGCGAACAAAAAAGAAGTCGTCGACATCCCCGTTAAAGTTATCGTTGAAGAAATCAAACCGTCGTTGAAGAGTGATTTAGAAAACGTTGAAGTGCCGGATGAAGATGAGGAAATCAAGAGGCCTCTAGTCGATTTAAGAAATCCCGGGCCCCCGCAGCATCAAGAGCACGAAACACAGAATCCTGAACACCACGAAGATGCTGAAAAAATCGTTTCTTCCGTCAAAAATGACATTAACACAGCGGAAATCGCTCTTCGTCAAGGCTTCCAGGAAGTGTCAGACGGTATTGGAAAATGGTACGCTCGTACCGAGCAAATTAACGAGCTCCAGGCCAGCTTGCAACATTTTCAAGAAAATTTCGGCGCTCAGATACAAAAGTTGAATGAAACGCTACATTTTATTAAACCAGCTGACGCCATCGCGGCCCCTTCTGTCGAGGAAACGCAAAATAAAGCTTCTTTTGAAACAATCGAATCGGGTCTCAAGTCTTTAGAGACAAATTTCAATAGCGGTCTTAATCAGTTATCTGAAGGTATTCAAATTGTTGCTACGTTCAAAGCCGACGGAGAGGCTGCAGCTGAAAGTTCCAGTACCGCCCCTGCTCAAAGCACAACAGCTTCTACAGGAACAAGCACCAGTGGCCCTACAAATCCTTTAATTCAAATGGTGACCAACCTCCAGAATTCATTCCTGTCCGGAATGGCTAATCTCACTCAAGCAATCAACAACTGGAACTCGAACCAAGCATGGAGTGTTCCAAATATTTTTGGCGGAGCTAACACTGCAGCCCCTCAGTCAGATGTTCAAGGCGACGCAACCACCACAACGCAGAGACCTGCGCCGTGGCAAAATCTGCCGTCGCAAATAAGCAACTTTTTTAATCCCCAGGGACAAAACAGTAACCAACAAAACCAGAGCGGTCAACAGTCGCAGGTGCCTTCTGGTCTCTTTTCTGGTGTACAAAATTTTCCATTTAACTTCCTAAACCTCTTACAACCAAATAGGCCTGGTGCTCAGTCTACTGAGAAACCCGCTGAAGCGACCAGTACGACCGGAGTCGCGAGTGCCGCTCCAGACATTGCGAAACCATCTGAGTCAAATCCGCCCACTGAAACAAAACCAGAACAACCCGCAGCCGGGCCATTAAAACAAATTTTCGAGAACAGCCCAGTTCTGCAAGGCATCGCAGGAGCAGTTAAAAAGATCCAAACAACAGTCAATAATCCAGTGAAGCCAAGAGATTCTGAAGTGGTTGAAGAGACTAAATCTGAGCAAGAGAAGGGAGGCGTCATTTTGTTGCCAGTACACGGTCACGGCGGTCACGGTGGAAATGGTGGTGAGTACTTTTTCATATCGAGGAGTGAAAGTCTATTATTACATTTAAGCGATATTTTTGCAACTTTACAGGAGAGTCAAGTATAAAATTTGGAAAAAATATCATAACAAAAAAACTTCAGATAACCGAATGGACTAAACTTAATTGAATTTAAATTAAAAACATCAAACTGTTGAAACTATTACCAAATAAAATACACATTTAATTTCAAAGATAAATGTCGCGTATTAACGCGAAAAAAAGCAAATAACCTTTCACCACTCGATATACAGTTATCTTTGAATACATTGAATGAATATATGAATTGACAAATATTTTTATTAAAAAGAAAAATAATGTGAAATTTGTAAAATTTTACGAATAGCTTCGTGGGATCGCGTGGCGTTATTCGTGACCACCTTGATTGGCACTATAGGAGCGGTTATCAATGGCTCGATTGCGACAGCTTCGACGGCTGTCAACAGTGCTATCAATACCATAGGCACTAATGTTGAGGTATCAGGGATGAATGGTGGAACTGCTTTTCTGTGTATATTTAACATATTTGTTTTAGATTTTTCCGAATGATAACTGCAAAAGTGTCCGTACTTGTGGTTTAATTGAGCGTAATTTACACAATCTTTTGGGATACCCATATCAAACAATTTTGTTTTTTAATAAAATATCTAATTTAAGTGTATAAACAATGCCGAAAATTTTTATGTCAATAATATGTAACTAATAATATTATACTTTGTGTACTACGTGTGGAAAATTTGCTAACATTTATTGTTCAGGTGCTGATTGTTCGAATTGAAATTTTGTTTAATATCTAATAATAACTTATCATGTTATAGGGGATAATAACAACGTCAGTGACGGGTTGAAAGCGGAAGCCGAAGAAATCAAGGTATCCACAGAAGGAAAACAGGAAGAGGTAAAAGAGAAAGAAATAATAGTAGAAAACAAGACTGAATGACTCACTAGTGACCATGTTAATGTTAATTAATTGAATTAGATATGCTTTGTACAAATAAAGACGACTGAAACATGAGCATGAAGAACAGACGAAATAAAATTTAATTTAATGACACTGCTTTTATTTGCGAGGTGACCTTACATAACAAAGCGTTTTTGTCACAAGCGACATCTTAGACCCAGAAAAGATAATTACAATTTTGAACATTTTTGATTTTAAATTTATAACAGACTTCAAAAAAGGAGTAGAGGCTGATATATACATACTTTTATGAGTCTAAATATAATAATATACATATTTTCATAATAAATACCCAGACAAAGAGCAAAGAAACTTGTTCATCACACGAATGTTTTCCCGATCCGGGATCAAATCACCCTCGGCGCAAGTCAGGCGCGCTAACTACAGCACCACCTGATCATATTGGTGGTAGGACGTCTTATGAGTTCACGCGGGTAGGTACCACCACCCTGCCTATTTCGGCCGTGAAGCAGTAATGCATTTCGGTTTGAAGGGCGGGGCAGCCGTTGTAGTGTTTAAAGTGAGACCTTACAACTCATGACTCAAGGTGGGTGGCGGCATTTACCTTGTAGATGTCTATGGGCTCCGGTAACCACTTAACACTGGGTGGCCGTGAGCTCGCCCACCCATCTAAGCAATAAAAAAAAGAAGAAAAAAACGTTTTTATCTTGTTGAAGCCAGTTACTTTTTTGATAGATTTGATTGCAGTTAAGGTGTTCAGTTAGTTGTTCTTTAAAACAGTCCGTATTGTTTACAACACACTGAGATTATTTATACTTACACTATCATACAGCCTACCTGAGAAAGAGTGGGCAAGGTCTTCATATGCTTATTGGTTATTTGAGTAAATGATTGGTATTACTGATAATACCTAAGTGGTTACTAAAGCTCATAAACTCATCCACCACTCAAAGCACAGGTGAAATAGCCCCTTTGACTACCAGCTAAGAGCTAAGAAAAAAAAAACAATGGCATGCCGTGGGTCACAACTGACAAGTACAAAATTTCAAAATACCACGTATTATTTTACTTAAAATAGTCAGTCAAGGATCTATAACATTTAAATCGAAGGTAGAATTTAGTTCTTCTTCTTCATTTTTTAAGTATGACAATTGGCTTCTTGTGACTCTATTGTTAGCCGTATCAAGTTTATAAACATTTTAAATTATTAATTAAATACATATTGTTAAATGAAAAAAGATATGAATCGAAATGAGATGGAATTGATTAATTTGAAATATTAATCAATTAGGATGGAAAATGAAACGAGGTAATACATATTAGATTATGTAGAGTCTCGGTAAAAAGAGTGTCTATTTACTTAGATCGTTGCAGTGCACTTTTTGGAAGAATCCAGGAAGGCATTGCCAGCGGCTTTATTTAGTTTCCTCACGTTTATACACTTTCACAGATGCTATGCCTTTATCAAAATAAAACAATTAATATATCTTCCCCCCCAGGGACGTCTTAAACTAGGATGGGGCCCTTGGGCACACAAGAACATTTTTTTACTGAGTATGACCATTTATTATAGGTAATCAAATACAGTATGATATAATATGTCATTAATGATATTAGAATGCTGCTGGTTTTTTGGTTACGATTTCGATAACGGTTTCTTTCGGGATGTCTGTTGAGCAAAATCTTCTATTATAGGCATAGTATATGCCTTCTAATACCTTCTGATTACTGATTTGTGAAAAAAGTGTAATGTGCCCGACAAAAATGTTTTGTGAATAAGCGTGTGAGAGAAATTGTCGGTCTTTCGGGCCCCCCTGAGAATGGGGGCCCCGTGTGCCCTTATGGTAAAGACCGTATTGTTCCCCCCTCGTGTTCCCGCCATTAAGTCAATCGTGAAATTTAGTATTTATCTGAATTAACTGAAGTGAAAATTGTGTTAACTTATTGCTTTTTTTAATATATTGTATAGATGAGTGGACGAGCTCACAGCCCACCTGGTATTAAGTGGTTACTGGAGCCCATAGACATCTACAAGGTAAATGCCGCCACCCACCTTGAGATATGATTTCTAAGGTCTCAGTATAGTTACAACGGCTGCCCCACACTTCAAACCGAAACGCATTACTGCTCACGGCAAAAATAGGCAGGGTGGTGGTACCTACCCGTACGGACTCACAAGAGGTCTTACCACCGGTAATTACGCAAATTATAAATTTGCTGGTTTGATTTTCATTACACGATGCTATTTCTTCACCGTGGAAGTCAATCGTGAACATTTGTTAAGTTTTATTTTTTATTTTTTTTTATTGCCTTTCTAGGCAGACGAGCATACGGCCCACCTGATGGTGAGTGGTTACCGTCGCCCATGGACTTCAGCAATGCCAAGGGCAGAGCCAAGCCGCTGCCTACCGCTTAATACTCTTATATCTCAAGTATATCTATATATAGTATATATAGTATATCTCTTATATCTTAAGTACGTATTTCATTAGAAAATTGCTAATTGCTTGCGGGATTCGAACATCGTTACATCGTTCGAAAGCAGCGAACATCTTATCCTTTGGGCCACGACACTAACCGCATTTCAACTAATTTCATTTCTAGTTTAAATCTATTATTAATCTCATAAATAAACCTCATTATTGCGCCCCAACCATTTCACTTTTTAGCTATTGACTTTTAACAGACTTTCATGGCTGCATGGTTTATTTCTTTTACTTTTCTTGTTTTAAAAAAGATACTACCACAACAACATTGTTATGTCAAATGTCAAGAACACGTGAAAACGTGTTGTACAACAAATTCAACCAAAATTGAATATGTTTTGCTGAAATCTTGAAAGTTGTATTAAATTAATTAGAATCCGTTAAAATGAACAGTCTTTCATTAAGGATTAACCGATCGGGGTTTAATAAAAATAAAAATAACTTCGTTTTCGAACCGGTTTTAATAGAAAATATTTGGAATGAACAAAATAAAGGTAAGTTATTTATTTTCATTGATATCATTCAAATTAATACATTTTTCAATAGCTTTAACTATGACCTATTATTACAATATATGACATTGTGTTTAATTTTGTAGATATGGTTAGTGGATTAAAACAGAAATTCATGAAGTCAACGACTACAGATGAACAACTTAGTGTACTAAAGGAAATATTCGAAACATTAAAATCAGAAATAGACATAGAAACAGTTCATTTTCTTGGGCTAGTATTTTTACAGGCACAACCCAAACATCCAGTAAAATGCTTTCTCTCGAGGTAAATATGCATCATAATCATATCTTTTTTTATTAGCATTATTAAAGCCGACAAGCAACCAATCTAAATAGTTTTCATACTTACTTATTCAAAATTATGAAATAATAATAATTTTAAATGAAATTAAATAAACAGAATCATACTATTAATTGCAGTATTAATTCCAGAATTCCAGAATTCCAGTATCTTATTGCCATGAAACAGAAAATTATAATACCTCAAATTTTTTAGCTTATGAACATTTATTTTCTTATCTATGAACATGCTAAAATTGTCGCCTTAAATATTGAGGAGATAATACAAAACTGAGCACATTAAAATCAATTCCAAAATTTTTAACTAAAGTATATTTATTATTTATAAAATATTTAATGACTGATTTAAATGCCAAATTTTTTTATCAAAACAAAGGCACCAAAATTCCTGTGCGGTTTCATTAGTACAATAAACAGAAATTGATCTCTGTTGTTGTTCTTCATTATAGGAAGTAGTCCCATCCTGTTATATAGCTACTTATAGATATCAATACTATTATTTATCTGTTTTGTCCTTACAGGCAAATAACAAAACAAACGAAACTACAGCAACCATTTACAGGGACATTAGCAAAAGAAATAATATCTATAACGAGACACGAACATACTGAATATAAAAATTATGAAACTACAGTATTGAGAATATCTACTTGCATTGAAAATTTTCCTGCTGGGGCAAATGCTGTGAAATTGGTTGAGATGCATTTAATAGATTATTTTAATGGATGCTTGCAGTATTGTGTGAAGTCTCTCAGGTTAATTTTATTTATATAAGATTCAATTAAAAACTTCTAAGAGTGATGCAATTATGTTGGTGCTCAAATTACAAGTAGTCACCAATTTTTCTAAGGAAATACATACTTGACATATCGAGGGGTGAAAGGCATTTAAGAGACATTCTAATTAATATGCGATTTTTTTCTTTGTAATTAAAGGTCCGTTTTATTTGGTATTAGCATCAAAATATTAGTGTTGTTAATTGAACTTCAATTAAGTTTACCCCATTCAAATAGCTGAAGTTTTTTGTCCTGAAATTTTAAATTTTAAACCTTAAATGGCTCTACTGCAAAATTGCAAATATGTCGCTTAAACCAAATAGCCTTTCACCGCTCTGTACATTCTCAAATGACTTCCAGCATAAAGTAATAACATTGTGTTATAAAATTCAAATGTAACATATTAGAACATGATATTTAAGCAAGATGTTTTCATTTTTAGAGAGACTCCATTATCACCGACAGAAAAGAATGAAATACACAACCTGACTCACTTAGCTCTACGATTATTGCTACACATTGTACAGAAAACAGATTCAGAATCTGAAATCATCGTAACTAAGTTCAGCACAACAAGATTGTTTATCAAACAATTACTCTTTGACGATGAAGTGCCTATGGACACTAAATCAGTATGTGGAATATTGTTCCTGTCACTACACTGTTTGGAAAATGGACCAGATTCTTGGCTGCAGGTTAAAAAGATTTGTATTATTTTTTGTTGGGAATAAGAGGTATACTTTGAAACATAACATATTACACTTCTGTTTACCCTGTAAAATAAAATGAAGGTTTTATGCAACAGAGTTCACGCTTGACAGCCAGTCAGTAGCAACCTGCTCTCAAGAACATTATGAATACAGTACATATTGGAACAAACTAAAATGCTCCTTGCACCACCATTATGTCATACAATAACATATTTTATTTACAGATAATTCATCCGGTCATATCGGATGCAAATCTCGGTGAGTTGTTAAGTGATGAAGCTTCCCAACTAGCACTATATTCGGCAATAGCTACAGTTGTGAGTCCTGAAGACTTGGAGAAGCAGATTGTAGATAATACACCTGCAATCATACAATTAATTAACAGTGTTTTGCTGATTGGAGAAAGGTATGATTTTTTTGGTACTTGAGACTCACAAAAAGGCTGTTTCTGGCTGTGTTATGTTACCTTGAAGCCTTCACCGGTTTTAATATGAATGGCAGGATAGCTTGCCTTTGAGTGCATAGTAATCATTCAGCATTGTATAGGAATAAAACCCTCAATACAGTAACACAACCTACACATTGCTACCACTCACAATGTTCTGTGGTATGAGATACAGCTTTTTGTCGCACTACATGTGTTAAATGGAGTACATTTCCATAAACACTGAGCATTCAAACAATATATGAAAATGCATACAGTACAATACAAATACTGAAATAAATAAAACTTTAGTATGAGGGAATTACCTACTAGTTTTTGCCAAATACTACTTAATTTATTTATTTGGGAAATAAATTTGTGGAAAGTCAACATGTTAATTCTTACAATAAAGTACTTATTATAGGGAAATAAGTATCATTATGAGAAAAAAATATCTGAGAAGCAAACTATAAAACCAAAACAAACAAAAAATAAAATTGGTACATGGTAAAAACTGATTGAATGAATCTACATCAAAGAATGACCATGTAGGATCAATGATTAAATTTATTTCACAATTTTCAGGAGCTCATCAGAATCATCGTTCACTTTAAGCGTGACTAGAACAGTGTTGCAGATCAGTAAAATGTTAGACAAGATTAATAGTGACGAACTAGGACAAGAAATGATGGAGAGTCTATTTGTGTTCACCTGGTCGCACCTGGAGCATTTCGTGGACAGCGTCAGACACCTGAGCGCACAGATCATGGCGTGCCTCGTTAAATATTCCGTCAGGATGAACAAACAAGGTTGACGATTATGCTTATAGACCTTATTTCAAGTTTGAAGTTTCAATTGTACTACAAAATGACCCCCCCACCCTTTAAACTGGAAAGCGGAATTACTTAGCCCACCCACCCTTAAGCCATAAATACTGTTACAATTAAAAATAAACAAAATATTACATTTGAATTTGGAATCTGTCATTTTTATATGATTGATTGAGCAACATTTTAACAAACAAAATGACCGTATTTATGCTCAAAACTCTAAGGAAACTTCCCAATTAGTCGACAGAGTGCAAAGTGGGCACTATCTGACTTCAGTGATGGTTTGGTGGGGTATTAGCTATGAAGGAATGACTGAGCCATACTTTTGTGAAAAAGGTATCAAAACATCGGCACAAGTGTATCAAGATAACATTCTTGAGAAGGTAGTGAAGCCCCTTAACAACACCATGTTCAATAATCAAGAATGGTCCGTCCAGCAAGACTCGGCGCCAGATCATAAAGCTCGGTCTACGCAGTATTGGTTGGAAACGAACGTTTCGGACTTCATCAGAGCTGAAGACTGGCCGTCGTCTAGTCCTGATCTTAATCCGCTGGATTATGATTTATGGTCAGTTTTAGAGAGTACGGCTTGCTCTAAACGCCATGATAATTTGGAGTCCTTAAAACAATCCGTACGATTGGCAGTGAAAAATTTTCCCATGGAAAGAGTGCGTGCTTCTATTGATAACTGGCCTCAACGTTTAAAGGACTGTATTGCAGCCAATGGAGACTACTTCGAATAAGCTTTTTATACTTTAAATTGTTTTATATTTATGTATTAAAATAACACACTGTAAAAGTAATAAATGTTATTTGCAATAGAATTTTTTTTTCCTCTGTCTCAGTATTTATGGCAAGACTAGGTAGATTACTGCTGGCAAGATTTTCGGATCGGCACGGTCGCATCGCTGAAGGACGCGATATCTGGCATGTTATCCCTTAAATCACAAATGTCTCTACGTAGACAATGGGATACTAATTGTGATACTTATAGACTCCTAACATCATGAAGACCGTGAGCTCGCCTGATCGTACAATAAAAAACATTGTTCCAGGTAACACAAAAGCCCTAGCGAACCTGATCGAAGCCATCAAGTCCGTGGACAGGGACAGAAAGAGTTTCTACCTGTGTCTGACGTCACTCATTGCCGAGCTCGGAGCGGACGGCGTCATGGCCCGACTGAGCGGCGTCATACCCGACACGGTGAACGCTCTCGGCTCGCAGGCGATCCGGGCCAGCGTGAGTACTCGCTATACAACGATACCGACGCAGAAAACCGAAAACTGTATAACTTTTAAAGTCCGAACTCTCAACTCTCATTTCAAAAGGAAAATGATTATTTTTTTATTACTAGAAAATACATTTTTTTATTTGACATATTATTATAATGTCTAGTGTGGGTTGTGAGGGACCTGGTGAAATCCAGTTCCAAAGGGACACTCATAGGCCCAAGGTGTTTAATGTCGTCTTTGTAACGTTTTTATAGTCGACACGACGAAATTATTACATACTATTAAAATATTAAAATTGTTATTAATTGAACAGGCCACGATAGCATTGGAGAGTCTCCTGCAGAAACACGCGCAGGGGTCGACGACCTGCGACCTGCACGAGCACTGGGTCCGGCCGATATTGAGCTACGCTTCCAACAACGACACGGATTCCGCGATCTTGAACATCCTGGAGGGCCTGCTGGCTAAAGCGATCAAGCTAGATGAGAACCTCATGAATTACATGTGAGTTTTAATTTGTCGCTACCCTCATGAATAATTACGCTTCGTGCTACGCGATTTTGAATTGTAATAAATTGAAATGTTGATCTATTTCTGTGTATCAAATATATGATGATTTTTAAGGAAATTTGTTAAATTAAAGAGATTAAAATTTAATAATTTAAAAACTAAATTGTGTTACCATAAATGATAGGTTACTAATTCAAATGTAATGTTTGTTTTAACCTAACCGTATCCATGTCCGGTCTGCGTGTCTCATTACAGCAGCGGTCGGGGAACCGGGGTACATTACCCCAAATGGGGTAAAATGAAATTTTTGTGAGTAAAGAGTATATATTGAATTGAAACTTCTTTAGAATCGTTGTGATTTCAAACTCGATGAAACGAAATGAAACGAAACGAAAAAATAATATTTTCTTTTCAAATTATCATGGGGCTTATAATATGAAAGAAGAAAAGAAGCGATTTCGTTTTATTTTTTTCTTCGCCATGGGGTAATCAACTTACACAAAAATATTTTAGGGTAATAATTAAAAAAGTTCGCCGACCGCTGCATTACAGTATACCGTACATCGAGGAGTCTGAAAATTCGAGTGCGGACCTGAAGTGCGTGCTGATGTTGCTGAGCGCGGCGCGGGGCGCGGGGGGCGGGGCTGGGGGTGGTGCCCGCTGGCGGGGGGCCGCCCCCTACCTGCTGCTGGAGCGCGCCGCAGTCAGCGCCGCGGACGAGGTACTGTATAGTGTCGTGTACTTATAGTATACTGAAAAAACGGTGCGCTTTTTTTTTCTACCTAAGCTTAAGCCTTGTGTGGCTATTTCAGTGTAACCTTAACTAGTAGGTGAACTCACGAGGCTCAAAGCGTGCAACTTGGTGCACGTGAATGAAGTGGAACTTCATTTTCGATGTGTAGTATTGTGGTTTTCTAACGCTCGCGCTGGCCTGTAACAGGTATACTACGCGCATGCGCTCGAATATCGCGCATTCACTCTCGCTCTGTCTCTTTCTAGTATGGTAGCATTAAACGTTTAACGCTACCTTGTTGGAAGTCACATTAGAAGTTTCGCTTCAATAAATGGCGTCCTCACGTAACGCAACGATTTTAACCGACGTCAAAAAAGGTTGTATGTTTAATTGTTTGGGAATAACGAAGTAGTGAAAATCTTCTATCAAACGAGTGATATTGCTCGGTAGACCGACGCTCCGAATGTAGTTGTTCGGAACTTGTATATATGCGAGCTTATCTTAAAAATGTCGCCAGCAAGATTCAGGCATCTGTCCAATATATTGCGTTCTGTGACGGCTACCAGCCACAACAGTTGTGTACATTTGTTGAGTACGTTAGTTAAACTTTACTTTATTTCTGGACTGATTTTGAAAATTCGGTTTTTTTTTCAAAAGTCTTCTCCTCTAAAAGGGAAGATATTAAGACTTTAATAAGGCCTGTCGTATTGTATGGATCAGCTTGTTAGACGACTAAAGTGGCGGATAAAAGGCGATTGCATGCAGCAGAGATGCGAATCTGAAGTCCGAAAGGAAGTCTGAAAGTGGCACCTGTTACAGAGAAGCTGAGAAGTGCACGTTTGGGATGGTATGGACATGTGATGAGACAAAATGAAAATGAGGTTGGTAAGAAAATGTTAACTGTGAATATGGAAGGATTAAGAGGAAGAGGTAGACCTAAGAAGAAATAGATGGATAGCGTGAAAGACGATATGTGTAAGAGGGGAGTGAGCGAAGAAATGGTATATGATAGAGGAGTATGGAAGGAGAAAACATGTTATGCCAACCCCAGGTGACTGGGAGAAGGGCAGGAGAATGAATGTAAAGTTGTGATTAGCTATGGGCTTGTAGAATGTTTGTGATGATAAAATTTAATAAAACTCGGTGGAGAAAAAAAATCACGTTGTTCTTTTTATTATTTTGTATCCGCAATCATTACAATCATAGACATTTTACATAAACAAGAGATATTGTGCCACAGATAATAATATTTTTTTATATTTATCGGAGTCTACACTTCACAAAAGTCTCATCTCACTCCAGGTGAATGTCAGTGTTAAAATTGATTGATTCGTTTAAATTACCATTAATACCCGTCATATTATTACCAGACCCGGATCCTGGCTCTGTCCCTGGTGGTGGAATCTCCGAAGTCGACGGAACCGTTCACCCCGGAGGAGCTGTCGTTCATCCTGCACTACCTCAAGTACAACATCAACGCGCAGGCGCCGAGCTTCCGCCAGCTCACCCTGTCGGTCATGAAGAAAGTAGGCTCTTTTTAATACGCTTTTATAGCTTCAGACGATCCAAAGTCTCCACTTTAAGAGTGAATCAGACTTAGCACTGAATCCTAGTGGTTAGAGAACTATATTTTGTGGCATATTTGGCTCTATTTAATTGTGAATTGATCTTGCTATTGCAGCACTATCAACAGCATTTTTAATACGCTTTTATTAGCTTCAGACGTATGTATGTTAGTATGTAACGGAATCTTTGAACATGATTTTGACCCCCTTAAAAACGTCGGATTAACTCGAAATTTGGTATACTTATTAAGGGCTGAAGACAATCCAATATTTTAAAATATTGAAATACTAGTTGAAATTCAACTAAAAAATGAAAAAGAATAGTTTAAAAAACCAACAAAACACGTTTTTATAGAAAATTCAACTAATAAAAATAGAAAATTCATTTGAATTAAAAATAGTGTAAGAAACCCACTAATACCATACACCACACGCTTTTTTTACAATAATATCATTTTTTATTACACTATTTTGAATTCAAATTTATTTTCTATTTTTTAGTTGAATTTTCTATAAAAGCGTGTTTTGTTAGTTTTTTTAAACTATCATTTATGTTTCATAGCACAGCCAATACGTTGACTTAATAAATGTTTCAACATCTGTGAAGGGGCACAAGTGTTGGAAAATGAAACAAATCCGCTGAAGGTAATTTCTTGGGTACTTCCAGAAAGTCCACCGGAACAGTTACAGTAAATAATCACCGTTTTAGTGAGACTTTATTTCATTCCATCTAAACTCGTTTCACAAAGCTCACTTTATTTTTCATTATCATCATCATTCTTTCCTATTACCCTCTGCTGGGGTGTAGGAATCGAGTCAAATCCTTCCATTTACATCGGTCTTGGGCAGTCTGTTCTAGCTCCTTCCACGTCATGCCTAAGACGCCTAGCTGCTGCTCCACCGAGCGACGCTAAGTTGCTCTGGGGCCGCCTCTCTACCTTCCTTCCTTCATTTTTCATATTATCACTACATAGTATAAAACAAAGTCGCTTTCTCTGTCCCTATATCCATATGTATGCTTAAATCATTAAAATTAAGCAACGGATTTTGATGCAGTTTTTTTTTAATAGATAGAGTGATTGAAGAGCAAGGTTTATATATATAATATTATAACATCCATTAAATAGTGGAGAAATACTGTTATCAATAAGAAATTACAGTTCCCTAAGCGAAGCGAGGGCGGGTCGTTAGTAACAAAATATAAGAAAAATATATAAGACTTGGCTTAAAGGTCTCATTACCAGGCCATAAAATCTTTAAAAAAAGCTGTTCAAACTTGGTCCTTTTTGGGAGCGATTTGAATTGAGGTTTGACAAGCACGACCCTATACCGGCAGTTCATGAAGCGGCTGGGGGACAGCTACGGCGCGCTGCGGCGGCGGCGCCACGCGCTGTGCGCCCACTACGCCGCCTTCCTGCCCGAGCTGACGCAGCTCTGCGGCCGCAGCCTCCTGCCCGGCGCCAACTACAGCCGCCGCTGCGTCGCGCTGCAGATCCTCGTCTGGGCCGACGCCGTGTATCCAGCTGACTGTCCCAGGTTTCCTCCTTACCTTTAAACATTTACTCACGTAATCCCAACACTACAATAATCTATATATTAATACGTCAAGCAAAAACTTTCTACCCCTTTTTACGAAAATTGCGCGGACGGAGGACTATGAAATTTCCCACACATATAGAGAATATAGAGGAGTATAGAATGTTATTTTTTTTTTAATTATGCATAAAACATTAAATCAATAACAAAAACATTACACACACTATGATATATTAGGCACACACACGCATGCATACTATTTGTTTATTGTCAAACTTTTCTTATTGCTTATAGTCTGTGGTCAAATTGAAAATAGATTAATATTGGACTTTTTGGCGGGAACGCGAGGAGTGAAGTTGTGTGATTTCTTTTATTTTGTCTATTTAGTGTTTCTTCGGGTTTAAATGTGTAATAATGGTGGTTTATTAACCGTTTAATATCTGTGAAAGTGCACAAATGTGGGAAAATGAAACAAAGCCGCTGGACGTAACTTCTCGGGATCCTCCAAAAAGTCCACTGAAAAATCTTAGTAAATGACCATCATTTTACTGAGATTAGATTTCATCTCATATCATCTCATTTAATTTCATCCTAGTTGATTAATGTTTCAAATTAATCATTTTCATTTCATTTCACTCCATAATATCATTTTTCATAAAATTAAGAATATAGGTTAAAATAAGACATGACTTAAAGGTCTCAGTTACCAGGTCATAAAATCTCTTAAAAAATATATATATATATATATAGATTAATATTGTTTGTCTTTATTATTAGTTGTCTAAAGTGTAGTCTTGGCGAAATCTGTGATTATAGTAATATAGTAGTCTTTGACGATAGAATCCTAGTAGTGTACAGACTTATAATTTAAATTAATTATAGTAGTATGCAATTAAGTTATCAACAAGGCTCAATACAAACATTCCTTATGTGAATATTTCATTGTTTCATCCAGGTCATGGGAACCTGAGTTCGTGGAGAAACTGTTACTACATTTGGACGACAGCTACGAGAGTAACAAAGCAATGGCTCTGAGTATATTAGAGAAGTGTCCTCCAGAGATATTAAAGGTGAATATATCTTACAGTAGATCAAGGCGCAGTGCATATGTTATATGAAAATTCGCAAGTGAACGCGAAATGTAATCTCAAAGACTTTTAGGAAATGATTGCTCTCTTTCATATATTTTTTAAGTATGGCAATTGGTTTTTACCGACGCCATTGTTGTCAGTAGTCAATGATTAAGTGCATACACATTTTCCAAACGGTAAGAAGTCGCCGTCGCCCCAAACACGTCATTTCGGATCCTCCCGATCCACTAACGATGCTTTTAGATACCTCAAGCACCAGTCATCGCTCTCGCCGGACCGGTCGCTTGCGACAAAGGGTTCAGCGAATAAACTAACCCACAGACACAGCCCGCATCTTCTCAATGTAAAGTAATGTAGTAAAGTCTCCTAGGCTGAGCCCCGTGAGCTCGCCTGAGAAACTTCGGTCAAACTAGCATAACCCCTCGAGGTTCCTAGCTATAGGTAGACAAAATAATAAAATTGTCGTATGAACGAAATGAGATGAAGTTCACTAACTTGAGACTTTAATCCATTGGGATGAAATTAAATGAAACCAGATAAGATGAGATAAGATGAAATAAAGTCTCAATAAAATGATGTTTATTTACTGAGACTTTAGTGGACTCTTTGGAAGAATCCGAGAAACCACTTTCAGCGGCTTCGTTGAATTTTTTCCCTATTTATGCACTTTCACAGTTCTTAAACAGTTAGCTAACCACCATTATTATATGTTTAAACCTGCAGAAATACTAAATTAACAAAATAAAACAATTCATAGTAATTCGCACCACGTTCCCACCAAAAAGTCCCAATCTGATTGTTGTGTCCTAAAGTAATTGTGTCTAATTTAAAAAATTTAATTATGGTATTATAAATAATACATCTTATAATAATATAGGTTTAATATTAAAATGTATGTCGAGTTTATCACAGTTTTCGCGGTCACCATGATTTGTCTGAGATTTAATTAAAATTTAACTTCAAATTTAATCGTGCTAGTAATATTTAAAAAAGTTTTTTTTAATTAAGACTTTGAACGTCTGCTGGGGTGTCAGCAACGTAGGTTTTGGTAGGCGGCGGCTTGGCTTTGCCCCTGGCATTACTGAAGTCCATGGGCGACGGTAATCACTCACCATCAGGTGGGCCGTATGCTCGTCTGCCTACAAGGGCAATAAATAAAAAAAAACCCAGGATATGGTATTTTATTTGATATTTCAGGACAACAGCTACTCCACAAGTTTGAAACTATCCGACATATTGGCTCAGGCCTCCTCGCCGAAGCCGACGGACTGTGTGTCGGCCGCCTACAAGATGGATCTCCTGAGGAAGAAATTACCCGAAAATATAGTACAAGATGAAACTTTGTAAGTCGAATTTCATTTATGTTTTAGCATAGACCAGTGGTCCCGCAGTAGCCGAAATTCGACTATAATTAATTGAAGTTATAAATTTCAACTTTATTATGGTTCAGTTGTCAAGGACTACTGGGCTGAACTATAAGGACTACACTGTAGACAAATAATATTAAAAATAAACAAGTCCATTGAAAAAGTCTCATTAAATGACCACCATTTTACTGAGATTATCTGAGTCGTCTATTATCAAAGGTGGCAATCTGTGCATTTGCACAAAAAAAATTTTTTGATATGTCAATACAGATTGATTTGAATATAATCGTCTCCTTCAAAGAATACGGTTCAAAACCTGCATTAAATAAAGGTTAATAGTTAACCTGTTATTTATCTAAGATGTCGTTCCGAAGAGTTTTGTGACTGCCAATGGAATACAAAGTCAATAATTCGTTTTTCTGATTTACCAATCATTGTCCAAAAGTCAGATTGCCGGCTTTGATAATAGACGACTCATTTGTATGAAGTCGGAACAGCGCCTCTAGCGGCAAACTTAGGCAAACGCTACGTTACCTGCTTTAACTTTTACGCTGTCGAGAGCGTTATAAAACTCGCATTAAGCATTCAGGTCTATGCATGTCTCCAGCGACCTTGACGTAAAAGGATATCCTAGGTAGGGGCTTAATCTGGAACTGGTCCAAATTAAATAATTTTTAATTAATTATTCTCTATTGCACACACGTTTTAAATATATTATTTGAGTCGTCTATTATCAAAGGCGGCAATCTGTACATTTGGACAAAAAAATTTTATTGATATGTCAATACAGATTGATTTGAATATAATCGTCTCCTTCAAAGAATACGGTTCAAAACCTGCATTAAATAAAGGTTAATAGTTAACCTGTTATTTATCTAAGATGTCGTTCCGAAGAGTTTTGTGACTGCCAATGGAATACAAAGTCAATAATTCGTTTTTCTGATTTACCAATCATTGTCCAAAAGTCAGATTGCCGGCTTTGATAATAGTCGACTCATCTGTCATTTCATTTAATTTTCATTTTCATTTCATTTCATGCCATGTTTCATATTAATCAACTTCATTTCATTTCATAATATCATTTTTCATTTTAAATTTTTATTATTAAAATTAATTAAAAAAATTAAAGACTTGACCTAAAGGTCTTAGTTACCAGGTCATAAAATCCCTTAAAAAAAAACAAGGAAACATAGTTTTGAAATGGGAACATACTCAGTGCTAGTGTTGTTGTCTCTCAGCCGCGGCCCGGAGCCGGTGACGTTTGCGCTAGTGCAGGGCGTGGCGCGGGAGGCGCGGGCGCGGGTGGCGGGGTGCGCGCGCGGGGTGCGGGAGGGGTCGCGGCGGCCCCCCTACGGCGCGCTGCGCTGTCTGCGGCACCTGCTCACCGCGCTCGACCCCCAGTGAGTACTGTGCCCCTTGCTGTACAGCCGTCCTCTCTGTAGCGGGCGGCCGTCGCAGAACACAAGTTAACTTTTTTATGCTTGGGTAGACAAGCTCACAGCCCACCTGGTGTCAAGTGGTTACTGGAGCCTATAAACATTTACAACGTAAATGCGCCACCCACCTTGAGATATAAGTTCTAAGGTCTCAAGTATAGTTACAACGGCTGCCCCACCCTTCAAACCGAAACGCATTACTGCTTCACGGCAGAAATAGGCGGGGTGGTGATACCTACCCGCGTGGACTCACAAGTGGACTTACCACCAATGAATAGAAAGACGCTCGAATCTCGTTAACGACTTTTTCAAAGCATGCGTTTTCAGAAGGCATTAACAGACCGTTATGACTGTCGGTATTTGAACCATTATACCAACATAATAATAATAATAATGGTTGGTTCGAAGTAAGTATCAGTTGAATGGAATATTTTAAATGTATTCAACTGATAATTATTTTTAATAAATGTATAAAGATACAAAAGATCAAAGATCAAAACAATTAATTGATTGATTTTGGTATTTTTAAGTATGTTTCAATGATACCATGTACACATATGGACTTGTTGTTGTCTGACATAAAGTAAATCATTCATTCATTCATTCAAAACATTCATTCACTGGGACCTCTGGTGAAACTGGAAAGGCCATCGCGCCACCAGTACTACATCCGAACCGTGAGTGTAGCGAGCACCTTCACCGTCCATTTGTCGTCACCATGACCAAGAGATGTTTCAGAGCGATATCGGAGGACGAGAGGTGGCGGTTGTTGATGGGTGACATCATCAACATTTGCTTCGAAGCGAGCGAGGCCGTGGCCTGCGTCGTCAACAACTCCTCGCCGGAAGGTGCGTACGACATCTACTCAACAATTAAGTCGATACTGTCCTGACATTGTCAATGTCCGTAGCTTGGCAATGAGAATATTTTTATAAGCCCTTTTAAAAAAAAACTTTTTACACTTAAGACACGTGTGTGAACGGGCGAGACTGGTCAGTAGAGCGGATATATGTCACAAAGTGAATACTGCCGCCGGGATCAAATCTGCTGCTGCCGACCATGAGCACTCGTCAACCATTCGTTTTATCTTAGTCACAATAGTTGTTGTTGTTGTAGTCCTAGGGTACCCCGCTGGTACATAGGGCCCTCACAAGTTGTCTCCAATTGACCCTGTCTTGCGCTTGCTCCTTGACATCACTCCAGATGATCCCGGCAGTCCTCATCTCACTCTCCACGGTGCGTCGCCAAGTGAGTACAGGGCGACCAGGTCTTCTCCTGCCAAGCGGTTGCCACTCAAACGCGATTGATACTGCATTGTCTCCGCTGCGCTGTAGAATGCGTCTTATCCAACGCCATTAAGTCACAATAGTTAACGTATTAAAAATAATGTTTTGTTTGTATATCATAGGCCACCTACCGATGGACATGTCGGGGGCCGTGGTGACGGAGCAGGGGGACGGCGGGTAAGTGTCGGGGGCGGGGGGAGCTGCTCCGGTCGCGGCGTCCGCTCACTGTCGTTGTCGTTGCAGGGGGGCGGCGCCGGGCGGCGAGGGACACGTCACGGCGCAGATGGTGCTGCTCTGTGCCTGGAGGTCGGTGAAGGAGGTACGACGTCGCGCGACTGCCCTCTACTTGTCTATGTTAAAAAAGTAATGGTGCTCTAATTGGTCATATAATTTGAGCATACTTATTTGCAATTGGTAGGTTCTGGAAGATCTGCTACAAGCACTATGCACAAGTCTAGCAATAACATAAAAAAAATAGTGGAATATTACTAGATGCATATTTTCTTTTTCTTCATACATTTATTTATTTATTTGGGAAAACAACAGTACAATACAAACATATAATATTTAAAAAAAATTAAAATGTGTGCAATTCACACGTGGTAGAAGTGAAACCTTCCAAAATTAAAATACAATTATCCTAAACGTCTTAAGTATATGTAAAATTTTGTCATTAGTAAATAATTGTAAGGTAGCGCCCTCTGTGAATTGATATTTTAATTTCACGTATAATCCTAAATTAAATTTCACTACAAGAGCTTTCATACACACGTTAGTATTAAAAAATCTCACAGATGGCGCTGTATTAAATAGTATGTATATTTCTGTCTCATTCTTTGCTGGCTTCATCCTACACATTTTTGTATTTGTGTCTCTTACCTGTCGTTTTTTCCGTTGCATCCGGTTTGAAATCACAACGATTCTAAAGAAGTTTTCACTTCAAAAATCTCACAGATGGCGCTGTATTAAATAGTATGTATATTTCTGTCTCATTCTTTGCTGGCTTCATCCTACACATTTTTGTATTTGTGTCTCTTACCTGTCGTTTTTTCCGTTGCATCCGGTTTGAAATCACGATTCTAAAGAAATTTTCACTTCAAAAACGTAAAACAATAACCAAACATGTTTCTGCCATCAAAATTAAATAAAAGTAGAAAGTGAACAAAGGAAGAAAAAAAAGAGAGATTTAGAAACTTAAGTTTGCACAAAAAACAATACGTACATATTATTATGTACATTAACTTACAAAAATCACCTTATAAATATTCCAAAATAGCATTTCTATAATCTACAACTGACAAGCAAAAAATGTCAGCATTAGAGAACTTGGTATCATATAATCTGCAAGATCTACGGAGAAAAGAGTAAGGTCTGTTTAGAACGTTTAAAACATCTATATATTAATACGTGAAGCAAAACCTTTGTACCCCTTTTTACGAAAATTGCCCGGACGGAGGAGTACGAAATTTCCCATACTTATAGAGAATATAGAGAAGTAGTGCAAAATGTTAATATTTTTTTAAATTATGCATGAAAAAGTCATTACACACACTACCATGTATTTGACGCACACACGCATGCATACTATTTGCTTATTGTCAAACTTTTCTTATTGCTTATAGTCTGTAGTCAAATTGAGAATAGAGTAATATTGTTTGTCTTTATTAATATTTGCCTAAACTATAGTCTTGGCGAAATTTGTGATTATAGATGTATAGAAGTTTTTAACAATAGAACCATAAAAGTGTACAAACTTATAATTTCAACTAATTATCGAATTTCGACTACTAGGGGACCACTAGTAAAAAATAAATGACCCCGTGTTCGTTCAGGCGTCGCTGTTACTGGGCACGATGGCGTCCCGGCTCACCGTGCGCGGCGAGGGGGGCGAGGGGCGCGGGGGCGGCTCCCTCACCCCGCGCCAGCTGCTCGCCGCGGGGGAGCACTTCACCGCGCTGCTGGCGCAGACGAAGCACCGCGGCGCCTTCGAACAAGCCTACGTCGGGTTCACGCAGCTGCTGGCCAGGTGAGCGCCGCCCCTCACCCGACACCGACTAGTACCGAATCAAAAAGATCATTTGATCAATCATTTTAAAGTCGTCGTGGCCTAACGGATAAGACGTCCGATGCATTCGTGTTGAAGCGATGCACCGGTGTTCGAATCCCGCAGGCGGGTACCAATTTTTCTAATGAAATACGTACTCAACAAATGTTCACGATTGACTTCCACGGTGAAGGAATAACATCGTATAATAAAAATCAAACCCGCAAAATTATAATTTGCGTAATTATTGGTGGTAGGACCTCCTGTGAGTCCGCATGGGTAGATACCACCACCCCGCCTATTTCTGCCGTGAAGCAGTAATGCGTTTCGGTTTGAAAGGTGGGGCAGCCGTTGTGACTATACTTGAGATCTTAGAACTTTATATCTTAAGGTGGGTGGCGCATTTACGTTGTAGATGTCTATAGGCTGCGGTAACCAGTTAACACCAGGTGGACTGTGAGCTCGTTCACCCATCTAAGCAATAAAAAATCGTATTTATTGTTGTATCGCGTCAGGTTGTGGCGCTGCAGAAACCCGGCTCTGCACGAGCTGCCGCGGGGCTGGCTGGCGGCGCTGATGCAGACCATCGCGGCGGACGACAAGCGCGCCCTGTGCGCCACGAGGCGGAGCGCGGGGCTGCCCTTCATGATCCAGGTCAGTGTGCTTAGTGCGAGTTTTTTAACTACTAGATCGCGTTTTTTTTCCCCCTACCTCTTCGCTGGTAACCTAAGGGGCTATTCCAGCTATACCCGAACGGGTAGATGAACTCACGGCCTCAACCTAAGAGAATTTGCTAACACTAGTCCTAGCAAGAGCAGTACTTCGTAGAATCTACCACCGGATCGGAAACGCGACCCGCTGAGAAAATCCGGCGAGAAACTCAGTGAGCTGTGTCTATGGGTTAGTTCTCTCGTCAAACTCTTCGTCTTAATCGACGAGGTTGACGAGGACCGTGACCGGTGTTTAAGAGGCTTAAAAGCACCGAGAGTAAAATCCGAGGGATCCGACAAGACATGGTTCGGGCGACGGCGGCTTTGCGTTGCCCCATTGTGGTCGGATAAGTAATTAGCGGCGGCCACCACAAGAGGGTTATCGTGTCGCGCTGCTTTTTCAAAGTAGCGTTCTTACGCTTCCTTAAGATGCTTACGTATTGCTATACTAGCTATTCTAACTATACTTGAGACCTTAGAACTTGTATCTCGGGGTGGGTGGCGCATTTGCGTTGTGGATGTCTATGGGCTCCAGTAACCACTTAGCACCAGGTGGGCTGTGAGCTCGTCCACCCATCTAAGCAATAAAAAATATATATAAAAAACTAGATTTAGATCGTCGCGAAGATCTACATTCCTCACATACCTACTAGCGACGGCAATTCCGCAGAAAAGGGATTGAATTACCTGGAGAGAGTTAATGCGTGTACGGGTCGCGTGAGCGAACACTCCGCTTACATGTAATAAGATCTATTAGGTTATCGGTTTTTGGATAAAAAACAATTCAATTTAAAAACAGTACAACCTTATTTATTCTGTTTAATTACCTACACAACAAGAACACTCAATTACAATACAGTTTACTAAATTGCTGCCACCTATAGTGTATAGTTAATGTAGTTTAATTTTCATTTTATATTTCGAATAAGATCGAGTAAAAGTTATCTGAAATTTGCATGGAGTTGGAACAGAATCCCTAGCGGCAAACGTTATAACGTACCTACCTAGTCTTATTTTGTATTAGCGAAATGCGTGTTAATTTTACGATCTCGTAATCGAGTAACTTTATCGAAGTGAGTGCCTCGAAAACGAATGACGATAGTTTGTGCGAGCGCGAATTACAAATTAGTGGATTTTGACAGTTCGATTGAGTACTTCTTCACTTTCGAGTAAATTATAGTTTTCATTGAAAATTTCGTAAGGAAACTAACATCTATTTTCTTGATTGTGTAGTGCTAAGTTGGCGTAAAGGTCTCGTTACCGGGCCATAAAATATACAAATATCGTTGGTGATGCCTTAAGAAAGACAAGGCTCTTCATTATTGAGCATTGTGATGTGCCCACCTGTGACCTTTTTTAGCCACTTATGTTGATCAGACAGTATGTACAAATTTATAGAATCATATTAGCTTATGTTTTGCATAATGTAGGCATTAATTATGATACAATGTGGATTATGAATTATGATACTAAATATATATAGGTATGTTATTAATATTCAATAAGGATAGTTTGTATCCCATGATTAAACTTTATTTTAGATCTAGAACATGATGATAATGAGAGAGAGAAGTTCTACTACAGATTTTATTAAAGGTAGGGTATTAAGGGATCAATTAGTTAGAAGATTATAATAATATAATGTCAGCAATAATAGTCTTTTAGATTAGAAGCTCATTTTTTCATTACTTCATTATTTACATTATTATTTTTTTTTTTCTTTCTGTTCTTTTAATTATCACTACAATCAAACGTAAAAATATTTATACTTATACCTTGTCCAGCCATAAGTTCTGTTGCAAATGAAAATGCACTTTTTTTAATGATGTAATGTAATATTATTAAAATGTATACTTACCTATTTATTAAAATCTCAGCAAAAAATAAAAAAAATATTGTATTCGAAATGGCCACCTTTGTCTTTTATACAGGCTTTTAATCTGTTTGGACACGAATCTTTGGTTTTACGCACTGTTTCCAAGGTAACTTAGGTCACTGCTTACTCCAAAGATGTTTTGAAAAGACTTAATGTCACCGTGTCGTTTAGAGCAGGCCATTTCCTCTAAAACTGACCAGAAAAGTAAAGGGTTGAGCTCTGGGCTAGATGAGGGCCGGTCTTCAGCTCTTTTTTCATAGGTAAAGAGTATATTTCTGTGCCTTTCACCTGCATATCGCGACAGAAAACGTTTTGGTCGATCCACTCTCTTTAATTGTAGATTGATTTAGGGCGTGTTCTGTATATCGACTATAAGCAGGTCAGGTCCAGGTCTTGTTTTATATATAATACGCGACAGAGTCCTAACGGGAATCTTCATTTCTCGCGATAAGATTTTTTGCTTCCTAATGGGGTTTCGACGAATTCTTAATTAACAGCATTAACAGCCTTTGTAGTTCTAACAGCACTTTTTTTTTATTGCTTAGATGGGTGGACGAGCTCACAGCCCACCTGGTGTTAAGTTGTTACTAGAGCCCATAGACATTGGTAACCTAAATGCGCCACCCACCTTGAGATATAAGTTCTAAGGTCTCAGTATAGTTACAACGACTGCCACACCCTTCAAACCGAAACGCATTACTGCTTCACGGCAGAAATAGGCGGGGCGGTGGTACCTAGCCGTGCGGACTCACAGGAGGTCCTACCACCAGTAACCCGATCTTTTCTGATCTTCGACAGACGAAATGTTATTGTATCTGTTCATAGTACGATATACGAACATACGGGTGATACCAAGCTTTTGAAGTGTTTGGAATATGATCAACGGCTCAATACCCACTCTGTGCAAGGTGATCACTGCAATCCTATTTTTTTTAACAACACATTCCATATTGCTATTTGATAATGAACACGAAAATATGTGAAATGGCGCAAAATCGAAATAAATTTATAAAATAATGTGTTCCAAATTCAAAATAATTAAAAATTTGGAAAAAAAAACGATAAGTTTTTATGTAACAGTATTTATGGCCAGACTAGTTATATCTGTCCATGTTTAGTATGGAGATAAACAAATAGTTAAAAGGCTCAAATAAAAATAAAACAATATGAATAGTATCAAAGTCTTTAATTTTTATATCTAAGTATACATATCATAATAATTGAAGATTACAATAATTTAATCTTTACATAACTTATTAGCTAGTTGACTTAATAAATCTAATGCTCTTAAACTTATGGCTTGCCATTCTTTTTGAGTCTCTAATTCCATTTCTCTTATCCTAATGCGTTCTCTTCTAATCTCCATATAATCTTTATGTTGTTGGATTCTGAATGCTCTGGAATCCGTATCCGAATTTCTAACAGGAACTGCGCGCTCTGCCTGGGTTAGTCTCGCACATATTTGAGATGGGGATCGCACTCGTAAAGACCTTTCGCGATGGCTCTGCGTAGTGGGTTCGTACTGCACAGGAGACAGAGGTGTAACTATAGACTCTGGAGATGATGTTGGTACCCCATCTGCAAAATTTGACAAAAATATATATATATATATATATTAAGTAAATCTGTTAACAAACACTGTCAGATAGCAAAAAAACAAATATGTTCTTTGTATGACTTCATTTTATGTAAATTCGTCGTGGCCTAAGGGATAAGATGTCCGGTGCATTCGTGTTGAGCGATGCACCGGTGTTCGAATCTCAGGCGGGTACCAATTTTTCTAATGAAATACGTACTCGACAAAATATGTTCACGATTGATTTCCACGGTGATGGAATAACATCGTGTGATAAAAATGGAACCCGCAAAATTATAATTTGCGTAATTACTGGTGGTAGGACCTCTTGTGAGTCCGCGCCGGTAGGTACCACCGCCCTACCTATTACTGCCGTGAAGCAGTAATGTGTTTCGGTTTGAAGGGTGGGACAGCCGTTTTAACTATACTTGAGACCTTAGAACTTATATCTCAAGGTGGGTGGCGCATTTACGTCGTAGATGTCTATGGGCTCCAGTAACCACTTAACACCAGGTGGGCTGTGAGCTTGTCCACCCATCTAGCAATAAAAAAAAATTTACTATGCTAATAATTTACCTTCTACACTATCATAATCTAAATCAAAGGCTTGGCTGCGACGTGTTGGCTCTACCTGGGTTTGGCTGGATGTGCATGGTTCTGTGTATATTCGATTGGAAGGTCCAGGCACATTACACAGTTCAATACCTAAAAACAAAAAGAAAAGTCAGTCCCATCCTATTTGTTAATAAAATGTTAATTGAATGGCATTCTTACCTACCTGTACCTCCAGATTGTGCTGCAGTCCAGGGCTGTGAAACGACAATATCCTGAAATTCCTGAATGAAAGGCAAATCAAATAGAAATTAACAATATATTTTAAATGTGCCAAGCGACTAACACTAATCACCTGGAAACTTCCTGCACCGTCCAGCTCTGAGCCCATCGCTGCCTGCATACCCATAACATTTAACACTCTTTCTTCCAATCCAGATAATTTTGCATATATTGCAGGTCTAACATCAGCACCATTAGCTTTTCTACGCAAGCGTTCAGCTTTCTTTTTAGTATTATTTTTAAAATCGCTCCAAACCTTTAACATACAATAATTTTAATTTTAACAAATACTAAACTATAAAAATTTAATGATAATTAACATGCGATGAGAATAATATATAGATGTACCTTTTTCCACTTCTCGGTGGTTTTCGTATTACCATTTTCATGGCTGTTTAATAAGGACGCTAGCTTCTCCCAATTTCTAATACTTGCCATCCGACCTCTGGGAGTGGATGCCGGCTTACTGAGATCTCCGTGTCTAGTAATAAAACAAATACATATAAAATATCACAAGTAAATAAACTACAAAAACTTATTAAACATAGTAAATATCTATATTACGTACTCTTCCATAAAAGTTACTAATAAGTCAAATTGATTCTGGCTTGTTTTCATTTTTACTTTTTCTTATAAAACCACAATCGGTATGTAAACTTTGTATAAAAATTCAAAAAGTACGCTTATTTCGAGTAAACAAATCGAATAATTTAACCACTGCGTGAATCGAATACGTTCTTCACGGTGAAAAGCATTAAGTGAAAAGTGACACCATAGTCCACACTCCACATCATAGATCAATAATATGTTGTAGTGCACAGATTACACATTAGTAGAATAGAATGCATATATTGGTTACTAAATACTTAGTAGTGACTCAGAATCATAGATATCATACTTATTGAATAAGATTACTTAAATAAGTGCACACTAATTGTAAATTCAAGAAAAAAAAAGATCATTTGTCAATCGGGTTGGAAAGCTACAAAATTTAGTCTCTAAAACACATTATCTTTGTTACTAAATTGTTGATATTTGTGCCAAGTGAAGTTTTAAAGAGCTATTTTCAGTGTTTCGGGAACAGAATACGATCTAATTTAAGTGATTTATAATTATTGTTTTTCATATAGTTTAATAAAACCTGAATGAGTCGGATTTGAACAAGAAATGAAGGAAATGGGGTCGAAAAATGGGATGTATAGGGTGGTGGGTGGTGGAGATAGGACCGGAGAGTGGGTTTAATGCGGACTAGACTAAGTCGACCGTGACGGCTACGGGTGAATTGGGTTTTGTTACTATGGTTGTCACCATATGAATATTGGGTTAATATTTTATTATTGTTGCTATGATGTTCAATTCCTCAAAAAAAAATCAAAAAACAATGCATCCAACGACTACTAGTATTCGTCGATAATTAGCAGAAAACCGAGAAGATTAATTATAATTCCAAATTAACCATAGTAGTGCTATGAAAACAAAAGTACCTTTGATTAGCTGCTCTTTTGGCATTGTTTTGGAATCTTTTTCTTTGTCTCCCTGGTAACCTCAAAAGGCTTATACCAAGTTCACCTGACGGGCAGGCGAGCTCATGGGGCTCTGGCGAATTTTCTAACACTAGTCTTAGCAAGAGCTGTGCTTAGCAGAATCTACCACCGGATCGGAAAGATCCGGCGAGAAACTCAGTGTGCTGTGTCTTTGGGTTAATTAGCTCGTCGAGCCTTTCGTCGCAACCGACGGGTTCGACGAGGATGGTGACGGTTATTGGATCGAGAGGATCCTTAATGACCCCGCGGTCTGCTCACAACACCATCCAGATCGTTGAGTCTCACATACCCCGCGCGCCCCTTATGCGCGGGGACCTCGTAGGAAGTTTGGCCCCCGGCCCGAAAAAAAAAAAGATCCGTAATGACGTGTTTTGGGCGACGTCGACTGTTTACCATTCGGGCTACAGGGTCGGGTATATAGTTTCCAGCGGCCACGACAAAAGGGTTCTCATGTCGTGCCGCCTTCTCAAAGCGAATCCACCATACTGCACCTTGCTCCAACAAATTATTATTTTTCCGGAATTTGGACAACTTCTTACAAATAAAAAAATTCAACTCCGATGCGGCAGTCCAAACCGCTGTCAAAGAGTTTATTTCGCCTCCATGGTTTTTTTAGTAAAGGGATCAATGAACTTCGTATGAGATGGCAAAAGTGTATAGATAACAACGGTACATACTTTGATTAATTAAATATATTTTACAAAAGAAAATTGACTTTCTATTTCTTCCGTACAAAACGCCAATTTCATATGTAAGGACCTAATAACACCGCCTCCAGGTCCTACAAAAGGGCTATTGCCAATACGAAATCGGAGCACGTTTCTAGAATTGGCGAACGATTTAAGACCTATCCCTTCGAAAGCCGTGCTTTTTGGTCGCTCGCCAAAGCTGCAGAAGGAAACTTTTGCTAGTCTAGTCTCCCACCACTACGCAAGTCCGATGACAGTCTCGCCCATAGTGCGAAAGAGAAGGCTGACTTCTAGTCAAACTCTTCGCCTCGAACTCGATTATGGATGATGGGGGTGCCACCGAACATCCCACGGTCTGATAGCTCTCTGCCGGAAATCTGCTCTACACAGTGTGTAGTCAGGTGGGAACTCCAGGTCCTCCTGGATAAGTCGAGTGGGCCAGATTACATATCTGCAGTGGTTTTGAAAACGTGCGCCCTTGAGCTGACACCTACGCTAACGCGTTTGTATCGCCTGTCGTATAGTACTAACAAGGTTTCGTCTTCATGAAATACTGCCCATGTCCACCCTATCCAGAAGGGTAACCGGTTGGACCCATCGAGTTCTAGGCCTATCTCGATCCTAACTTCCTTGCTTTCCAAGGTGATGGAGCGAATAATAAATACACAACTCCTGAAGTGTATTGAGGATCACCAGCTGATCAATGACCGACGGCGGCGACACGGTTTCCGTAATGGTCGCTCAGCTGGCGATCTTTTTGTATACCTTACTCACAGGTGGGGTGAAGCCTTAGAGAGCAAGGGCGAGGCTCTTGCTGTAAGCTTGATATCGCGAACGCCTTCAACAGGATCTGGCATGGGGCACTTCTGTCGAAGTTCCATCTTACCCCATCTTACGGAATCCCCGAGGGACTCTGCAAGTGGACTGCTAGCTTTTTGGATGGGCGGAGCATCACTGTCGTTGTAGATGGTTGCTGCTCCGATACCACGACCATTAACGCTGACGTTCCACAAGGTTCGGTGCTCTCCCCCACGCTTTTCATCCTGTATATCAATGACATGCTATCCCTTGATGGCATGCATTGCTATGCGGATGACAGTACGGGGGATGCGCAATATATCGGCCATCTTTCTCGGAGCGTGTGGTGCAGGAGAGACGATCCAAACTTGTGTGTTAAGTCGAGAACTCTCTGGAGCGAGTCTTCGAGTGGGGTAAATTGAACCTAGTTCAATACAAGCCGTTGAAGACACAAGCTTGCGCGTTCACTACGAAGAAGGACCCCTTTGTCATGGTGCCGCTATTCCAAGGAGTATCACTGCACCCTTCCAAGACTATTGCGATACTTAGGGTTGACATTTCGAGTGATGTTCAATTTCGGAGTAGGTTGGTTTGAAGGGCAAAGCCAAGTTGGCGTCCAAAATGCTGGGAGTCCTCAACAGACCGAAGCGGTACTTCAAGCCTGGACAAAGACTTTTGCTTTACAAAGCACAGGTCCGGCCTCTCGCGTGGAGTACTGCTCCCACGTCTGGGCCGGGGCTCCCAAATACCAGCTACTTCCATTTGACTCCATACAGAAGAAAGGCGTTCGGATTGTCGATAATCCTATTCTCACGGATCGTTTGGAACCTCTGGGTCTGCGGAGGGATTTCGGTTCCCTCTGTATTTTGTACTGTATATTCCATAGGGATTGCTCTGAGGAATAACATATTTGAAATGATACCATCATCTCGTTTTTACCATCGTACCGCCCGCTACCGAAGTAGAGTTCATCCATACAACCAGGAGCCACTGCGTTTATCCACAGTGCGTTTCCAGATAAAATTTTCGCCACGTACCATCCGGCTTTGGAATGAGTTCTCTTCCACGGTGTTTCCCGAGCTCTATGACATGTCCTTCTTCAAACGAGGCTTGTGGAGAGTATTAAGCGGTAGGCAGCGGCTTGGCTCTGCTCCTGGCATTACTGACGTCCATGGGCGACGGTAACCACTTACCATCAGGTGGCCTGTATGCTCGCTGCCTGCTCAGGCAATAAAAAATTTAGAAAAACCCGTTGCAAAAAATGTAATGATTACATAGAATGCTTGTTTAAATAAATGATCATGTAACAATATGATTTACTTTTGCTGCTATGTAAGTCTTTGCAGTAAGTAGCGGCCTGGCTCTGCCTCTGGCATTGCTGAAGTCCATGGGCGACGGTAACCACTCACCATCAGGTGGGCCGTGTGCTCGTATACCTACAAGGACAATAAAAAAAAGACGTGTGACACTCGGAGACTGCCGCGGTAAAGCTATTGCATTGCATTTTTTATCAACTTATGCAATTATAAATGGGCAATAGTAATTTAATATTAAAACAACAATAAAATAAGATCCGACGAGAAACTCAGTAGGCTAATTTTCAATGAATCTGCTACATTATGAGTATTCCATTTTGACCGCGCACTCACTAGAGGGCGCTACATGGGATAGAGACACGCATTTGGATGCTAGCTCTAACTCTCATTCGCCCAGAATCAACGGTTTAGCTAGTTTATTTTTAATGCCACTCCAATCACTGAATGAGTAGTAGGAGTAGTAATAAAATTCTTCGACTAAGCGATAGAAAATGGCACGCCCAACGCATTGTAATGTGATATAATTTTCTATTTTACAATTCCGTTTGTCGCCGATAGATGGCGCTTGACGCAAAACCAGAAACGCGCTATCGTTGTGCTACCCACGAAATTATATCACATATTTTGATTGTACATAAATCAATTAGTTTTTAGGTGTTTATTTTTCGGTGTTTTATCATTATCGGTGTTTAGACTTCTTAGTCTAAACACCGATAATGTAAGAACTTTAAACACTACACAAGCGCAACGTGTGAATGTGTTGAACGCGAGCTACATAGTAGATTTGCGCAAAACATCACTTCCCAATGTAATGTGATATGACATCACTTTTACAGACAGGTGATATTACTCGAAAACATTACACATCACTCTTAACATTACTCGGTGCGTTCAATATATACTGTGACGAATACATTGTATCTATACACCCGAATCATTACCTAAGTGATGTGTTCATACTTTGTATTGTAATACACTGTTATATTACTTGACAGAAATTGACTTACTTAATAATATAATAATAATAATTTAATTTTTTACTTAATATAATTTATTGTGGGATGAACGGATTTCATATGGCGACTTAGACTGCAAATTGAGCTCGACGATAATGTTAATATACGAGAGCAGTAGACACATTGTTTCGGCGCGGTCTCCTCAAAGTGCATCCAACGAGGACTGTACTTTCATTTAGACGCCATTCTTTCTTTCACTTATTAAACACGCATTAAAACAAATAATAAAACTATCTTCAAACAAGTGCTTAAGTAATTCAAACACAAAAATTAATATGAAATATTACTAAACAATTACGAGCGACTAGCGATTTTACAAAAGTTGCGAATAAAAAATTAAGTAACTACTTGCGGGGAATTACCGGCTGGCCGCATGAAATATATAAACACAAATACCTATATTAAAATTCAGACGTACCATAGGTATAAAAATGTACCTAGAGGCCAGGGCATACGGGTCAAAATCACTAGGAATAATTCCGTGTCGCTTGCTCATTTCTTTTGCGTAGATCGACCTGTCTCGCTCGCTCGGTTCCGTTCGTGTATTAAGCAACATTACACGACAAAGAAAGAAATATGTTGGGTGATAGCTTCGCTAGAAGTAATAGTGTTCTGTGGGTGATAGTGTGATGTTTGTTTCCTTCGCGTAATGTGTGATGTTGCATTACATCGTAGAGTAATATTACCGGAGTAATATCACTCGCATTACTTACACATGTCTACTACATAGTAGGCGTAGTGAGGGGTGGAAGGTTTTTTTCGTTACGGAATTTCACGATTCCGCGCTCAAGGCCCGCGATAAAATCTATGCAATAGCTTAAAAAAAAGGTAGCTATTTGACATAAGCGAAAAGATAGCTAAAGCTACCCGTAAGAGTAAATGCCGGATCTTTAGAAATGCTAAAATTTGCACCTACCTCCACTTTAAGCTAGCCGTCGACAATATTGTCCAACCAAAAACCGACATTTTTCTAAACCATCAAAATGGACAAAATCAGTTAAACAATACTATTACTACAAACAAACGAAAAATTTCTGGTGTTGTATTGGTTTCATGGCTGAATTTTTAGTGACAACTTTAAATTGCTCGAAAGTGAAGAAGTATTCGATCGAACTGTCAAAATACATTAATTTGTAACTCGCATTCATACAAACGTTATTCGGGGTGCTCACTTCGCTAAAGTTATTCGATACATAAGAAGGCGCCTTGATACAACCTCATGCAGATTATAGTTTTCATAAATATCGACCTAGTAATTAAGATAACTCGCACTACGAGTAATCACAATCCAACACTAATCACAGTGACATTACCTATTACCCAACTGATTATGTTAATAACTAGTAGTCAAATACCGTTAGAATCATTTTATTTCCTTTGAACGGCATAAAGAAAAAACGCTACGTGCTACCAATATGCGAGAAAACATTAACGTTGTTTACGGTTAATAAACGTCTTGTGAATCGATTAACTTGAGTCCACTCGCACTTACAGTTATTCACCGTGAACAACGTACAATCCATTTACGTATTGGTTATGTCATTTTATTCGTTTTACGAAATTCACTGTAAACACTAATCTACTATAAAAATAGTAAAAATAATTGAAAATTAACTTGATAATTTATGAACAACTTAACCCTATCATATTATTAGCTCCGTATTAGCATCATATATTTTTTTTATCCAAAAATGTCGAAATTTGAGCCAAATAAGCGTCATTTGCGGGAACTTTTAATTTACATTTTTAATTTTAAAAAATCTGCAGCCGAGGCGCATCGATTGCTCGTAGAAGCATATAATGAGGCTGCCTTGAGTGAGAGAACGTGTCGTGAGTGGTTTCAAAAGTTTAAAAACGGTGATTTTAACATAGAAGACAAAGATCGCAGTGGAAGGCCAAAAATTTATGAGGATGCAGAATTGACAGAATTATTGGAGGAAGATTCGTCTCAGACAAAGAAGAAACTTGCACTTACTTTAGAAGTCACTCAGCAAGCAGTCTCACGTCGTTTAAAATCGTTAGGAATGATTCCTAAACAAGGTAATTGGATTCCATACGAATTAAAGCCGAGACATGTTGAACGCCGATTATGCATGAGTAAAATGGCATGAGTGGCATGGCATGAGTGAATAGGCACCAAAAAATAGTTTTTTACATCGAATCGTCACTGGTGATGAAAAGTGGATACATTATGATAATCCAAAAAGAAGAAAATCATGGGGACTACCTCGCCACGCGTCAACATCCACAGCAAAACCGAATATTCATGGAAAAAAACTCATGCTGTGTGCTGGGATCAGCTGGGTGTGGTGTATTACGAGTTGCTTAATCCAGGCGAAACAATCATTGGAGCTCTCTACCGAATGCAATTGACGAGATTGAGTCGAGCTCTGAAGGAAAAACGCCCTCAATACTACTCCAGACATGACAAAATTATTCTGCTCCATGATAATGCTCGTCCGCATGTAGGGTAATAATAAGAAAACAACATTGAAAGACAACAGTAAACAGTATCATGAAACTATTCCAAACTGAACTCTGAATTGAAGAAAAATCCTTTTTAAAACTAAAGAGTTTTAAATAATTAAGTTTTTTTTTTTTGTACCTGGGTACACGGCCAGACTTCTCCTATAATAAAAAAGTGGATTTCGAAACGAAAACATAGTCATACAGATGCTTTTACTGGTGGATTATTACTGGTGGTAAGACCTCTTGTGAGTCCGCACGGGTAGGTACCACCGCCCCGCTTATTTCTGCCATGAAGCAGTAATGCGTTTCGGTTTGAAGGGTAGGGCAGCCGTTGTAATTATACTGAGACCTTAGAACTTATATCTCAAGGTGTGTGTAGATGTCTATGGGTTCCAGTAACCACTTAATACCAGGTGGGCTGTGAGCTCGTCCACACATCTAGGCAATAAAAAATAAAATAAAAAAAGATGCCATATTCGTTTTACGACACACCTATTAAGTACTCGTACATACTAAATAAGTGCGCACATTAATTGTGTTTTTAACTTATCCGTAATTTTTTGCAGGCACTAGTAACAACGGAGCTGCAGGTCCTCGGCAATCCGAAATGTTTCCACCAATGCATGTCGCGCCTGCTGCAGCTGGCGGCCAGCAGCGCCGACCTGGAAACCAGGACGCACTGCATCAACATCCTCAGAGCTTTGTACAGGAACTCGGCGCTGCACGAAACCGTGGCGGGGTACGTCAGCGAAGGCCTGGTCGTGGCGCTGGACGGCTTCGACGGCGCCACGTGGACGGTAAGGGACCAGGGTGTGGCCCTCCACACTAATGGCGCCACGTGGACGGTAAGGGACCAGAGTATGGTCCTCCACGCCAACGTTATGACTGGAGATAACAAACCTGAGCACTTGTGAACACACATAATTTTATTTAGTACATCCATAATTGAACTATTGCTATTTCGTTTGGAACCGGACTGAAATCGGCCATGTTATTGATTTGTAGCGATAACAACAAGCACATGGCCAGTGGCTACTCTGTGTTCATACGATTCGTATGAGCGCTTAAACTCTATCGAACAGTAATTAACAGTCTCCTTTTAACCATTTTTTTTCCATTAACCGTTTCCATTAACGGACTCATAAATCTTCATGTTTAATTATTTCATAGAAACCTCAATAGACTTAAAGTTTTCACGAATATCACGCCGTACCAGGCTACAAGAGCTTTATCATGAATAACATAAGTGTTTAATTTCAGTTTAGCAAATGAATATGATGTTGCAATGAACGTGATCTACCTTGAGACGTGAGATTGAAGTCTCAATCTATACTAATATATAAATCTACAGTGGATTTTACGGATGTTCCGTTATTACTACTGAACCATGCATCCGATTGACTTGAAACTTAGTATCCATGTACAAAATACATGTACTTAATGGATAGGATAATATTTATATGAGTGTTGGACTCCCTACACTAGTTGCGGGGGCGTTAATGATAAGAATCTTTAAATGAAATAATGATGTTTAAATGCCCAGCGAAGCGGACCGGTACGGCTAGTCGTGTATAAGGCTGACCCAGAATTATATAGTACTACGAACAAAATCACTCGATATTGCCTGTAGTGTTTAGGGACCAGTGGGGCTACCCCTCCTGGCTGAGCCTTTGCTCGCCCACCTGTCCTGGTGAAACTGGAAAGGCCGCGGGGCCACCAGCAATCTTTCAATCATAATATAAATAAAAGGACTAGTGTGGTGCGCACGTGCGTCCTAGGGACGAGCGGGGTGCGCACGTGCGTCCCACGGTGACGCAGTGCGTGAGGCCCTCGCGATGCCCCAACAGGAGCGGAACTCCAGCACGCTGCTGTTCAGCGCGCTGATGGTCCGCACGTTCGGCGTGCAGCGGACCCCCCGCGGCGAGGAGCTCTGCGTCAGGAACAGAATGACCGGCCGGATATTTTTCCTGAGATACCCGAAGCTATACGATTATATGCTGGTGAGTGCGCACCCGGATACCAGACGCACGATCAAGTGTCTGTGTCACTAGCACGCCGTGTGCCGCGTGCTTAGACCCTGATAAGTACTCGCGCGTGTGATCGAAATAAAGCTTTTTGCTTACGTATGTATATGACGCCTAATCAAGAGGATAAATAAGTGTTTACGCGAAATTATCGAAAAAATATGAATAATTTTAAAAACAAACTTAGCACCACTTTTTTCCCTACCTAAGCTAAGCTATCCTAAGCCTTGACAGTCTATGTCAGCGTAACCGGGCGAGTAGGTGAGCTCACGGGGCTCAAACCGGAGTCTTACTAACACTGACCCTAGCAAGAGCAGTTCTTCGCCGAATCTACCACCAGATCGGAAACGCGACCCACTGAGAAGATCCGGCGAGAAACTCAGTGGGCTGTGCGACGAGGACGGTGACCGGAAGCACCACTAATGGTTGATCATGGTTCCCGTATATATATCTACTTTGGAATTCCGACCACGGTCAATATCTACGTGAAGATATTTAGCATCTAAATAGACTTGTGGTTTCTTTTTCGTCTGTCTATTTCCGATGCGTACAACACGACAATAAACAGGCAATCTTTGTACGTGATACAGGAGAAACTGAATAAGGTGAGTACAGCGGAAGACGCACAGAAGCTAACCCCGTCCCTGTACCCCGTGCTGCTGCTGTTGGCGAGGCTGTACCCCTCGGCGCTCGAAGGAACCGTGTCCAACTTGAAGGTTTGTAGCGCGATCTGTAATGTATGTTGTGTTAAATGTTGAATGCTGCACTTTTTTTTAATGAATGGCCTGGTAACGAGACCTTTAAGTGAAATCTTATATTGTCTAATCTGTTTTTATGAAAAATTATATGAAACGAATTAGTTGGAGACTTTAATCAATTGGGATGAAATTAAATGAAACGAGATGAGATGAGATAAAATGAAATATAGTCTCATTAAAATGGTGGTTATGTACCGAGACTGATTCAGTGGGTTTTTTGGAAGATTCCGAGAAGCTACGAACAACTTGGCTTTGTTTCACTTTCCTACACTTGTTCACCTTCAAGTTGTTCAACAGTTAGTAAACCAGTGTTATTAGACATTTAAATCTGAAGACTAAATTAACAAAATAAAATAAATCACACAAGTCCTCTCCTCCCGTTCCCGCCTAAAAGTCTGGTGCCTATAGAGGGTATAAGACTTAAACAAAATAAACTGTGTCGTCTGGAGCAGACTATTAACACGTTGACTGCGTGTTGCGCTTCAAAAGTCCCATGGGCCACTGTCTCATAGTACAGGAGTTAAAACAACACTGCTTCGCTAGACGCGGGACGCGACTTTGTCCACATTTCTATGGGTTTGGGTACATTCAAAAATTGACTTTTGTAAGGTCAACAAGTCTCATAGGCTCTGTAAAGAAGTCCTATCTTGCATCTAAAAGACCTCATACGCTCTGGCTGAGTCCTTCAAAAATGATCCCGCAGTCAAAGGGTTAACATACAACAATACCTCCGGCCGTGCAGTACTATTTAAGAGCGCGATTTCCGGTTGTGGTCAGTTGTCGGCGTTCGCGCCGGCGGTGCGGGTGTGCGCGGGGGCGGGCGCGCTGTGGACGCGGCGGGCGGCGGCTCGCGCGCTGGC